CAACATTGCTAGATAGGCATAAATTAAAATTTGATAAATCAAATGGAAGTAAACAAATGGGCGATCATAAATCCAAAGCATCATCACATACCAAGGAAAAATCTCATAGTCGTAATAAATCTAGCCATAGCACAAGATCTAAAGATAAAGTCATGACAGAGACAGAGACAATATAGTGAAAGACATAGTAAAAGTAAAGGAAAAGATAAGAAATTATCCACAGAACATAAATCTCGTGATAAAAGAAACTCAAAAGAAAAGTCACCTGTTACAAGGAGAGAGAGTAGTCGTAGAAAATCAACTCGAGAAACATGGAGAAGCAGTCAGGCAAAAACAAAGAAGGAAAGAAGAAATTAAAGAAAAAGAACAAGTAAGTCAGCCTCTTAGTGAAACCATGAAAGATGATAGTATTCTATCAATTGCTGATCATACTCAAGACATAGAGTTGCCAAAGCCACAAGAAGATTCAAGTGAGGAGCAGCCATTGACAGAAGGTGAAAGCTACCAAGAACCAACAAGCACTGTAACGGAGTTTTATGGTACAGAGCCATCTTCAATAGGATTGGTTGAAGACAAGGATGGAACTGAAATATGGAATGGTGTAGTGAATATGGTAGATGTTGCACATTTTGGTGTTTTAGCCTTTCAGGTAATTATTAAGACTTGACTCTCTTATGTTTATATACAAATATATATACAATAGAAACTCTATTAATCGGACTAATTGTTGTCGATAGGCACTCAGATAATCGAAAATCTGGATGAGTGTATGAAGAATAATTTTGTTTAATTAAAATGACAAATGCATACATATACACCAACAAAATGTTGTTTAGGAAATTAACACTTCCTTCTGTATGTACATACATATTTTCTCATACTAACTGCTGCATAATCATGCCGAATTCGAATTGTAGGTATATACATACATTTAAATTGTCCGCGGTTGGTAGTATAAACGAGTTTCTACTGTATGAGGAAATATTAACTCATTTCATAAAATATCATAAAGTGCATGTTTAGTAATTATTTCTTTCTATTAATGACACATTAAACAAGTTAGAACAATCTTCTTCTTGAATACTTCTAAAAAATTTTTTATGAATATCGACGCTTATTGATTGCCCACATGAAATACTTTAAAAGCTAATTTTGTTTATATCTACGCACCTTTTACGATCTGAAAAAATTATTTTATTTATACATATACTCACACAGGGAATAGGAATAAATTGGTGGTGCTCTCACTCTGCTAGCCTGCCTTTGTACAGAGAACCATTTTTTTTTTTATTATATATATATAATATATATTCTGAATATTTGGAATAAGTAAGTCATTTCTAATAGATTTATAAAGATTTCAGGAGACTGTCATGACTTGGCAAAAGATTTGCCTGGGGTTTTAGATATAGTTGGACGAATCGGTTTTTCTACTGTCTGGGAATATATAGCTAAAATGAAAACTTCTAATACAAAAGATATTATCGTTATACAATTAACTCCCATAAATGAAGAGGAAAGAGTACCTTATGTTGGGCTATACACATATCTGAGTACAAGAAAAAGGTATTAATATTTTTATAGAATCATTAGTCTAATGCCAGATTTTAATATATTATATTAATTAATTATAATTAATTATATTAAATTAATATAATTTCAACAGGCTTGGTGTGATCAAGCAAACTAGTTCAGCCATAAAGGATTTTTATATTTATCCATTGGGTAAAAAGGATTCTATTCCAACAGTACTGCTACCTTTATCAGTAAATGAAAATAGTAAAGAAATCTTGCCAAATACATTACTAGGAATTATAGTACGAGCTAGAAGAAACGGCCAGCGAATATGCTATCATTGCCAATGCCAACAACTGCTAAGGTGCGTTTAATTACTTGAATAGGAATGATTCTCCCAGCTAATTTATTTGAGGCATTTATTTTATTGTTGAATAAATCTGATATTCAATAAGTAAAAGGTTGAGAATCATACTCTCATGTATATTTTACTTCATAGTTCATTATTCAAATTATTTTAGATTTCGCGAAAGTTGGTTTCTCCTCCTCCAAAGCCATTCTCAAATAACAAAAGGTTAACTGAAGATCAAGGATATACACCCCCAACAAGTCCTAGACCAGGCAGTTTAAAAAAGCTTATACCTAGTGCAAGCTCAGTCAATTTGCCACCATTAACCGATCATGTTAAAGAAAAAATTGCAGCCAGTTTAGGTAAACATTTTAATATTAACAGTATGTAACATTCACTGTTTACATTACAATTACATTTTTATTAATAATTTGATATTTTTATTAATAATTAATTGTCCAGTGTGAATTAAAGCTATGTAGAATCAGCAATTATATGTATTTTAACTGTTAAGACAGATGCTACATTGAAATTACATACATAATTACATTAATACATTACATTAAAAACAGTCAATTTATATTTAATTAGACTCCTCATATTATTTATTTTTTACACACATTAAATTTGTATCATTTTTAGCAGCATCTACAGCAGAAGATGAACCATATAGCCCTGGCGGCAGTGACAATGGTGAGACAGATTTGCTGGGCACCACAATTATTAAGCCAACATTAGAAGCAGATCTATTATATATTCCTTCCGAGGAGCCCTCAGAAATAGAGAAAAAAATGGAAGAGTTGAATAGACGAATAGAAGAACAGAAAAAGCAAATTCAATCAATGAGCGCTGGAATCATTGGAACACATCAGGATCAAGTTAGTATAATAATTGTAACAAAATATCAAGTGATTTAAAAATCTCGTAGCAATAAAATCTGATCTATTATATAAGACACAATTTCATCTTCGGTCAGGTTGAAGGCAGATGACAAATTAATTGATAAAATAAACTCTGTTCTGTGAAACAAAAAGAATGCGAAGACAATACTTTCAGTACACATCTAATTTTATTTCTGTAATGGCATTATGCTCCATATCTCAGATTAGATTATTCCACATAAGATAATGATTGTAGAGCTCATCTTTGATATCATATGAAAACCCTATAGTTTCATTTGTTTTGAGCATAACTTAGATCAGTTCAACTAATGACCTAATCTTTATAATTAATAATGAGGAAAATTGTCTTGTATTATTGTTGCTCTTATTTTTGCATTACAACATTTAACTTATTTGTTTTAGTTGGATGAACATTATTCACCTTCGAGGCCTGTCACTCCAGATAATACTTCAATACCTGCTCTAGAAAACATATCTTTACCTTCCAATTTACAAGAGATCTTAGCAAGTATTCAAAGTAAGACCACTAACCAGCCCTCATCTACTTCGTCTTACTTGCCTATGACTCCTGAAGCTGTGGGAATCGGAATTGAAGACAAATATAGTCCAACTGCACCAAGTTCCTATCTACGGGATAAACGGGAATTCGATCTTGCAATAAATTCACATCAGGGTTATAATTTAGGTATAAAACATTTAAAAAATCAAATTGTAGGTCAACCAACTAGTGATGTTTCATTATATACAAATAAAGATAACAGTTCAAATTTAAAATCAATTAATCAAACAGATGTATCTTTGAACTTACCACTTAGCGATATTGATGAACGTAAAAGTTCACAAATATTTGCTGATGTTGATGATAGAATTGCATTTAAACTGCCTTTGAAAGATGTAGACGAGCGGTTTCCGCCTAAACTTATAAATGATGATATGTCACTTATAAATACTACCAATCCTATATTAAATGTTCCACCCTTAGTTCATAAGTATCAAATTCCCCCGCCACCTATCACTAAGCCAATGAGTAAATTGGCTCAGTTAAGTGAGGAAGAGCTCTTGAGTATGGTGCCAGATGATATATTAAGTAGTCCTAGTGTAACATCTGTTGATAAAATGTCAACTAGCAATAATTGTTCTGACAGTTTAGGAAAAGCTAAATTAGGTTCTGTTACACAGGCCCCCATATTGTATAACAAACCTCCCCCAGTCATGTTGAAAGATATTTCTTTTTCACAAGTGACTGCAGAGCTACCTATTAATACAGGAACTTCAAAAAGAGCTAAATTAGAACAGCCTCCGCCTCCTGGCATCGAATCATTTTTTGAAGAAGGTGACTTATAGGTTAATGTAAAGTTTATATAGAGTAAATCTATAATATAAAAATTGTAAAATAACTATTTGTAATATTGATTTGTTATATAAATATATATTAAGAATTATATATAAAAAAAATGCTGCAATCATGTGAGAAATTTGTATAATAAAATTATAATTTATAAGGAGTTACATAGTAATTTAATTTATATAATCTATGTATATATTAAACAATAAATAATAATTCATTATCCTATGAATTTTTTCCTCCATAGACACTATCTTCTGAATAAGCGATATACAAAAAATAATCTTCATCATGATATTCCTTATACAATTTTCCCATAGTTGCAGATGTGGGGGGTATAATATTGTTAATAAAAAAAAATAGAGCATCTTCTGGTCGCAACTGTATTCGTTTACGAATGAGGTAGTAAAATTGTCCAACAGTAAACTCTTCAGGTACTAAAAACTTGTTTTTGTCTAGATTACCAATTCGAGATCTAGATGTTTTTTCAACTATTACAGGAACACGATCGGGATATTTCGAACATATGCTGTGTCCTTCATTTTTCCTATCGTCGAACGAAACGAGCTTCTTATATTTGAAATCCATTCCTTGAAATGCTGTCAGCAATCTGTTTTTTTTTAATACACGTTATATCTATGAAATTGTAACTTGTTTACTTACTTGCCAATTTAAAGTATCCAGTAATTGCTGTGCAAAACCACAAAATACTTTTTCTTCCGATTACTATGTACCGATTCGCTTTTGTCGACTTTATTTATTTATCATCGAACGGATGACACTGTTTTTGTTTTGTGCACAGACTACAAATTAAATATTTGATCATAGATAAGAACTTCAATTAGTGACCATCACCCTAGCGGCAGTCGTTCGTCATTATATTCTTAGCTATGCGATGAGAATATACATGTGTATTAGTGTATATGTATATATACAGTTTCTAAAAGTATCTTTACAAAGTATAAAAAATATATTTAAATTTAAAATATATTATAGATTAAAAGATAAAATGACAAGAAAAAAATGATACCACACCAGAAAAAACAATAAAAAAAATTAATTAAGATATAGAAAATAAACAATATAAAGTTAAAATTTTTTGGTTTCAATTTAAACCGAAAATTTGTGTAATGTAAGTTTTGGGCAAACAACCGGATGCACCCACCCAATGATAGAAAAACACGAAGCACACGAAGAAGATAAGTAGCGATTCAGCAAATTCATATATATATATATATATATATATATATATATATATATACAATATATATATTGTGTGTTGAGTGTATGCTATAGATGACAAAACCTTGATCAATGAAATATAATGTTACACACATAGGTAAGAAATAATATAATGATTACAAACATATGCATATATGTATCATCCATGATGTACACTGTTTTACATACATTGAATTTAAGTTTTGTATAAAGCAGTTGTTAAAACATTAATAGAAGGATCCTAGAATACCAAACTATAGGTCGACCTATAGTAGCTTTTAGTTACTCCAATATTTCTATGAAAAATTATACATCGTTTATTCTGTTACTATCTATGATTTGAAAATATAAACATAGCAATGCATTCAAATCAATTTGAAAACAAAACAGTATTTGCTTATTTAATGGTACTTGTGGTTACTTTGGTCCATATTTCCATATAAATCCATTTATAAAACTTTTGAAATAATGCCAACTCTAATGAATTAATTTATGAGAGCAATATATAATTCCTCTCTCCTTAAAAAATCCAAGAAGTGTGTGTGAACATTATTAAAAATAAATATATAAAAAAATCGAAAAAATCATATCAAGGCCCGAGCTTCAATGCTCATTGTGAATAATATCTTTGACTACTTTACCCGTGCTCTATGGAATTAAAATACGCAATAATGAACTAGCGCCACCTATGGTATTTAATTTAATTTATTCATATATCCACACACATCCACACATCCACACATTTTATTTGACACTGATAAATTTTTGATGTACATAATTACTTATATGGAATTAGACATGATAAATCGTTAACACTATTTTTTTTAAATTGTTTAATGCACACAAATACTTCCATTCTGAGTAGAACTTTGGTATAAATATATTTTGTTATGTTCTAAAGTTGTATGATTTCGAAAGAGCCTCTAAACGTCCTTGCCACTTTTTTGACACACTCAATTCATTAATATTTAATTAAACTACAAGATTTTATTTATTTAAAACATGGTAAGATAATCTGTCAAATATTTTTTTCTCAAAGTCATTATTTATTAATTTTTAGTTGCAAAATATATTTACAATGCGAGTATGTACAATTGGTTTGTAGAGTTATCAAGATGAGGAACAACAAATGGGAGATTTTGATGTTGGATCTTTTCCAAAAGATTTTGGATATGGAGCCTTTGAACAAGATGTTAATAATGTTGGTTCAATACCTAGTGAACAAAAACCTAGGATATTACTCATGGGTCTCAGGCGGTCAGGGAAATCGTCAATACAAAAGGTTGTTTTCCACAAAATGTCTCCGAATGAAACCTTGTTTTTAGAATCAACCAATAAAGTTGTTAAGGACGATATCAACAACAGTAGTTTTGTGCAATTTCAAATATGGGACTTTCCTGGACAAATAGATTTTTTTGACCCAACATTTGATTCAGATATGATTTTTGGAGGATGCGGTGCCTTGGTATTTGTCATTGATGCTCAAGATGATTATATGGAAGCACTCAATAAGTTAAATTTGACTGTTACAAATGCTTATAAAGTTAACTGTAATATAAAGTTTGAAGTTTTTATACATAAAGTAGATGGCTTAAGTGATGATATCAAAATGGAGGTTCAAAGAGATATTCACCAGAGAGCTACAGATGATTTAACAGACACTGGTTTTCATCAAATTAATCTTAGTTTCCACTTGACTTCGATTTACGATCATTCAATTTTTGAAGCATTTTCAAAGGTCGTACAAAAATTAATACCTCAGTTACCTACATTGGAGAATTTACTCAATATCCTGATATCGGTATGTAGAAAGAGAATAATAGCATTAAAATGTAATAATTTTTTTTTTTCAATTTTTTGATGAAATTAGATACTCGTGTATTTTATACATAAACATGTTTCATAATATTTTTATACCTATTTTATTTAAGAATTCTGCAATTGAAAAAGCCTTTTTATTTGATGTCGTATCAAAAATCTATATTGCTACTGACAGTTCTCCAGTTGATATGCAGAGTTACGAATTATGCTGTGATATGATTGATGTTGTAATAGATGTGTCCTGTATTTATGGGTATGTTATATTATTTTACTCATTTCTTTTTCAAGCAGATCTATATATATATATATATATATATATATATATATATATATATATATATATATATATATATATATATATATATTAGAGATGGCTTATCATATCTGAAGCCGGATCAGTTAGAATTTGACTACACTTCAGGGAGGAGTTATATCCGCTTAACAACTCCATGACTCCGTCAACTTTGAAAACGAAATACTCGACACAATATTTGTTAAATACCATTAATTATTTGAAATTCTTTTATAAACAGTTCAAACATATTTGTTGATATTATCATAAAAAGTCACAATTTTAAGCATTTCTATATGCTTAAGTCAGATATGACAAAATCTTCGACACAACCCCGATTGGATTTACACCGAGGGAGGGGTTGTATCGGAGTGAGTTACCCATCGCTAATATATATATATATATATATATATATATATATATATACAGTGATTACGATAAAATTTTGTTTATGATTAAAGTTAAATGTGATATGTCGCTTTTTCATTTTGATCTATTATGTTTTGAGGACGTTTTAGTATCCGAACTAATATGGTAAGCAAACCAAATAAATATAAATTATAAATTTATTCATCTAATACTTTCCATAGATATTGACAAATGACATTTCACTTTTTTTTAGTTTACAACTGTCAAAATTTATTTAAATCTATAATCATTATATATTTCTGTTATTTTGAATATAGCATTTTGCTTAATAATATATCTGTTCCTTTTTCAATTAGTAAAATTAATGTATTTTTTGAACAGCCAATTTTTTTTTTCAAAAATCATAAATCGTTATTTCTCGAAGTTTCCATAAATATTGACATTTATCATTTTAGTGTTTCTTTTTTTTTTTTAAGTAAATTTCTGTCAAAACTTATGGACATTTATAAAAATTAAATATTTCTATATTAAATGTATTTTTCAAAAATTCCTATAACACAAGTTGGATATATACGCACACGATGAGCCAATAAAATTTAAAATCGGTTCAATAGTTTAGGCTTTCATCGCGAACCAACATTGTGACACGAGGTTTATTTATATAGAGATACATATTTATGTTTTTATATCATATATAAAGTTCACAGCATTATATAAATATTAAATATTATATAAATATAAAAATGTTCAAAGAATTATTTTTTCTCTTAAAAAATAATTTGCCTGCAATAATTTTTACAATCCGACATTTATTGGTAATTTTTTTAAATTCATTGTTTTATACATAAATTGTCTAGTCACCTGATTGCCTAGTTGACCCTTTATAGCAAAAGAATTGCGCTGATATTTCAACACTTTTATGGTCTCTTTGTGGCATATAATTTGAGATTTGTATGCATATTAAAATACATAAAATAGTTATTTCTTATAATCAAAAGAAAAAAGTTTGAACTGTTTATAAATGTTTTCTAAATACTTAATAAATCCCTAAATATATGAACAACACACTATAGAACACATTTGTGTCGAGGATTAGGTTTCAAAGTTGTCGGAGTCGTGCAGTTGTTAAGCGGATCAAATCCTAACCGATCCGGCTTCGGATATCATATGCCCATATATAGTGCAAATTAATTATTCCAAATTTTTATATATATTTAATCTGTATAATGTTGTAGAATAAGTGATGATGTAGATACCACTGCATTTGATAATCAAAGTTCCAGTTTAATAAAACTTAATAATGGAACTATACTTTACTTACGAGAAGTAAACAAATTTCTTGCACTAGTGTGTATACTGAGGGAAGATAATTTTGACAAACAAGGTTGAAAATTTGGTATTAGGTGAATTATCACTTAAATGAAACTTTATGAATATGCTATGAAATTTTGTTTCTAGGGGTTATAGATTATAACTTTTTATGCTTTCGGGAAGCCATCCAGCAAGTTTTTGAATTAAGGAGCAAAGCACAAAAAATATCAGAATCAACATTAAATGTATCATCTAATATTAATAGTCAGCCTGAGATAGGCTCTACTAATAATGTTTTGAATGGAAACCTGCATATGAATGGCAATGAAACACTTTTGTCAGGAAGTTCTAGTCATAAACCAAATAATAATGGTTCTTCCGTTTTAATAGTGCATAGTTAACTCAACTTAACTCTTACACACACACACATATATATATATATATATATATATATATATCTAATTGTATATATGTAATAATTTTATATCATATTTTTGTAAAATAGCCTTATGTAGATAGTACCATGTATAAAATTTAACTTTTTGTTTACTATATATCTATATATATATATATATATATATATAAGAATATATTGCAGCAATAATTTTATTTGTTTTATCTATATTAGAGCTTTTATTGATTTTACATTATCAGTAGTTATTGCAAGCCAGCATATATAGCTTGTTATAACAGTCTAATTTGATGTCTAATGTTTTTAACTGTATAATATACTACTAAATCAGATTATCATAAACAAATTTGAAATTATTTTAACCTTTTTTAATATTATGAGTTTTAATATAAATTTATGAAAAAATTACATACTTGTTTATTTTTGAATGCTTGTATATCACTGCTTGTTTGGTAAAATATTGAAAACTAAATATTTATGAAGTCTTATGAATAAAAAAATCTTAATATTCACTTAATTCATTATAGTCTCACACTTAAACCAAATCAATTTAAATATAATTGAATAAATTAATACTAATTATAATAAATGTATTTAATATACAAGATATTTTAGCAGATTTTATGTTTGTAATTGATTGCTTAAAGATTTCACACTTTTATATAGATTCGACTTTTTAAGTTGATAATGTCTATTGCTGTGTTGATCTTTTCTCAAGTGCATACAGTAACTAGCTGTAAGTGGAATTCTGTCTTAAGGCAATTAAGGCATCGTGCCTTAAGGCAAATTGCTGGAACTTCCCGTACCAAAAATTATTATTTTTTTAAAAACGATTAACATTTTTGAAAAAATTTTACTTCGAAAAAAATAAGATTTGTGAGAAACTATAAATTGGACAAAAAATTACTTTTTTTTGAAAAAAGTTAAAAAAAAATTTTGCAAGATCTAAACTTTTTTTCAAAGCAATCGTACTGCTTTAACTGCATAAAGAAGAAATATCAAAGCGCGTAAGCGCCGCGTCGCCGTCTAACGCGTAAACATTGGTACGGAACCCATAGGAATGTAAACCAAATTTATACTTATTGTTAAAATCTCTATAAAATATCTAATAAGTTGATGTGCATATGTCTAATGATCATTTTTGACCGCCAAATGGCATTTTTTTTTACTTTTTTCATTAGATCTCCGAAACCGCTAGACCTGCCTTTATGAAAATTCGATCGGTTCTTCACCTTGTCAATACAAGTAAAATGTTTTTTGAATTATCAAAATCGGACGCTCCGTTCTCTTAACAACTGAGTTACCGTTTTCGGCACTTTTTGCCCCGTATCTTCGGAACGGCTAGACCTGCCTTCGCCAAAAACTAATCAGCACGTCTCCTTATCAATACGAATCAAATGTTTTTTGAATTATTCAAATCGGTTGATCGGTGTTCCTGAAATCGTCGACGAAAATTTGTATCCGCACATTCATACACACACGCACATACACACACACACACACATACATCCATTTTTTCTAAGGTATGCCAATATATTCAAAAACCTTTGAAACGTCGAGAAATGCAAAAATTTTCATTTTCGATTTTTTTGCGATTACTATAACTTGCCCTACGGGAAGTTAATTACTAATAAGTTATTTGATAATATTTTTTTTTTCCATAAATCAAAGTTGAATTAAATTGTTATGAAATTGAAACAAAGCTTAAAAATTAAACAATTTTCTAATTGTAATAACCGTGGAGACAAAAGTTAGAAAACTTGTCCCATCATGAACCCTAAGTACAATGCTGAAATCATGCAATTTTGAAAGATAAATCATAGTTTCAATGAGAATTTCATGCAGGATTATCGAATCGGTTTCCATACGGTCATTCTATTATGGTGAAATGCTTCATTTCATTCCTTCGTTCTAATGAAAATGAATCTTTTTATTTTTAACAACTATCAGAACTTTGTCTTATGAACGGTTAACTATCTATATTTAACTTTCCGTAGGTCTAGAAGTTATAGAAATCACATCGAAAATGAAAATTTTTGGATATCTTTTTGTTTTCTTTTGTTTTAAGTTTTGAAAATTTTGTTTTAAGGGTTTCTGAACATTTTGATACAGCTGAGAAAAAATTTATGTATGTGTGTATGTGAAGATACAAATTTTTGTCAGCAATTTCGAGAGCACGGATCAACCGATTTGAATGATTCACAATTCGATTCCTATTGATGGGGGACTTGCTGAATGAATCAAAAGATATTTACTTGTATTGAGGAAATGAAAAATTGGTTAAACTTTTGGTAAGGCAGCCGATCCAATAAATTAAAAAAAGGCATTGCACGGTCAAATAACACTGCGCTACAAAAATGGCACTTTCTTTTTTTCCTTGAACTTTTTTTTTAAATTCACCTAGAATTGCACGCTGATTTTAATATACCTTTCGCTCTTTCGTAGCAGCTCCAGTTTTTGAGCTTTTGGGAACTACACCAATTAGTATCATTTCGGCTATGATTATTGCACAACGAATAAATAAGAGTTTATCAACTAAATTCAGTGTGCTTAATTCAGATAGTTTTTGTTTCATCTGGGGTTAATATGTTTTCGACAAATACCGGAAGTCTATGTCGAACTGCTTAAAGACATCCTATTTCAGTCACTTTAAAACTGAATTGGGCAATGAAGATAAAACATGGGTTCTTCATACCATGTGAAAAAATTGCGTATATTTAAGATATGCTATAATTTTATTTAAACAAAAAACCTTAGAATCGCCACGGCGATCGTTTCTTCTGTGTGGCAATAGAAGCAAATGGTCATAAACCACAACCCCAATGGTGTTGAGGTCTACTTATGATCAACTACACAACTCCTATCTATGCTAATGATGAACAACCTAGGACATCAACATCTACTGCCTACCATGTAATGGATGTAGAAACCAACGATAAAAGAGAGGACAGAAAGAATTAAAAACTGATATATCTGATGTAATTGATCTGAATTCATCACTGGCACTCTTATTTAGAACGGTTTTTGAAAAATCTTAGAGATATTAGCTAAGAGCAGGGCGAGGTTATCCACCAAGACATCACGACTTTGTAGGAGCGATATCAAGGAAGGTGGGACATCCACACGATGGCTGACAATTGTTGGACCTTATGATAAAATCAGTCAGGCCTTGTCCATACTCGAAAATCATATAAAGAGGCTTTTGAAGGCATAAAATGAAATAAGTTGTATTTTTTATTGTAATTTGTGGTAAAACTAGCACATTGACATATTTCAAATACTAGAGTGTTAACAAATTTCTGTAACAGTTTTCGAAATCAGCGTTCTCGAATTACTCAAAAACCACCATAACATCTCAGGAAAGAATGTTAGTTTCGCGCAGTGTAATCATTATACATATGCGAATTAATTATCAGATATTTAATAGAGATATTAATATTAGATACAAATTTTGTTTACATTTTTATAGGTACCGCAGCTAGATTTATAATGTTTAATGTTAACCCTTATATTGCGACGAGGCGCTTACGTGCTCTGATATATAGTCTCTGTAACAGAGCGATTGCTTTAAAAAAAATCCAAAATTTCAATATTTAAAAAAAAACATTCAAAATTAAAAACAGATCCAATTGTTTCATAAATTTCAAATTTCTCAAAAATGTTAATCTTTTCTTTTCAGTTCTCAAATTCTCAAGTTCTCAATTTCTCATTCAGTTCATCAAATTCTTTCAGTTTTCAAATAAAAAAATTAAATTACAGTACGGAAAATTCCAGCAATTTGCCTTAAGGCACGATGTAACTTTCCCATAGGGTAAGTTACAGTAATCGCAAAGAAATCGAAAATGAAATTTTTTATATATCTTTACGTTTCAAAGGTTTTTGAACATTTTAGTATACCTTAGAAAAAATGTATGTGTGTGTGTGCGGATACAAATTTTCGTCGACGATTTCGGGAACACCGATCAACCGATTTGAATAATTCAAAAAACATTCGATTCGTATTGATAAGGAGATGTGCTGATTAGTTTTTGGCGAAGGCAGGTCTAGCCGTTCCGAAGATACGGGGCAAAAAGTGCCAAAAACGGTAACTCAGTTTTTAAGAGAAGGGAGCGTCCGATTTTAATAATTCAAAAAAAAACATTTTACTTGTATTGACAAGATGAAGAATTTATTAAATTTTTAGGAAGGCAGATCCAGCGGTTATGGACTCTCAATAAAAATAAGTTAAAAAAGTGTCTTTTGGCGGCCAAAAATGTTTATTTGGACCTATGTACATCAAATTATCAGATATTCTATAGAGATGTTAATAATGTGCACACATTTTGTGCAATTCTTTGTTGGTTCCGTACCAAGATTTTTAACTACGGTATTGGAAGTTCCAGCAAATTGCCTTAAGGCACGATGCCATACACCACTAGTTAATCATTATCATGGATCAAATATTGATACATATGAAAACATATTTTAGATCTATATTTCCAATTGCAAATAGATGTCGCTACTGCTCGGTATCAGGGTTACTCGTGAAGGGGATTGAACCTAAAATGAATCATCGACGAGAATAACACGTAACGACATCTCCTGTCGGTTTCGCTGTTAAAGCTGTCATACACGATTTCCAAATAGTGACTTTTGCCTGGAGAATGACAAGACCAGCCGTTCCGTTTGTCTGTACACTGTGATTATTGTAATAATTTTTAGACCATTAAATATAATATAAAAAAATTGTTAGAACACATTTTATTATAAAGTGAATTCGTTTTAATATTAGGAAACTGTGTAAAAAATATAACTATAATACATGTTTAAAAATCAATACTGTGCGAAGATTTATTTCAGTGCTGTATTTAGTGTTTATTATATGCATCATTCACGTAAGTACATCCATATATTTAACAGTTTGATTCATTTTTTCTTGTGAATTGTTATCAGTACCCTTAGAGTATAGTATTTGGTTGATAGTTGTCAAAATTCAATTCACATCTTGGCTGTACTAAATGTCAAAAATGACTAGTGCAGCTGCAGCAGATTATTCTGCTAGAATAATGTGATTCTTAGAACTAGTTTTTATAATTCAGATTAAAATTATAGATTTATAACCACTATGTATACAAACTTGTTTCTTTTATGATTGCACAATGTTTGCACCTCATACTACTTGCTATTGGTATTTAATAATATTTTTTAAACTGGTAAGCTAGTCACATTACTTCTTCACATTATTGTATAATTTGCTATATCATAAACATTGAAATTATGATCAGTTTCGTACTTACATGGTTACATATCAAAGCCCATGAAAATGATTATTATAATAAAACTAGCGGTGCATGGCATCAAGGCAAATTGCTGGAACTTTCCGTACCGATAATAAGGATTTTTAAAAAAGATTGAAATGTTTTCAAAACCTTGAATATACAAGATTTTAGAGAATTTTGAAATTTTTGAAAAAATTAGACTTTTTTTGAAAAATTGAATTTTAGCTGCGTATAACCGCGTATAAACGTTGGCACAGAACCCATAGAAATTTAAACAAAATTAGTTGTTATTATTACAATATTTGATAATTTGATGTGCATATGTCTAATTATTATTTTTGATCGCCAAATGGCATTTTTTTTACTTTTTTATTTAGATCTCCGAAACCACTAGACTTGCCTTCCCAAAAATTTTATCAATTCTTCATTTCGTTAATACAAATAAAATGCTTTTTAAATCATTCAAATCGGACACTCCGTTATCTCATAAATTGAATTACTATTATTTGCACTTTTTGCCCGATATCTCCGAAACGGCTGGACCTGTTTATACCAAAAACTAATCAGTACGTCTCCACATCAATACGAATCGAATGTTTTTTGAATCATTCAAATCGGCAGATTTGTTCTCTCAGAACCTGCCATTTTTTGCACTCTTTGTTCCGTATCTTCGAAACGGCTAGACCTGTCTTCGCCAAAAACTAATCAGCACGTTTGCTTATCAATACGAATCAAATGTTTTTTGAATTATTAAAATTGGTTGATCGGTGTTCCCGAAATCGTCGACGAAAATTTGTATCCGCACGCTCGCACACACAGGTCGAGTGCAAAATGCAAGATTTGTTTTAGCGCCCCCCCATTAAGTTTAACTGTTAACAGTTTTTCATTAAAAGTAAGTATATAAACGTTTACGTTAATTTTTTAATTAATTTTTAATCATTCTGGATTTAGTACACAAAAAATTAGATATAATCTAAAAGCGTATACATTGATTTTAAATTTATTTAGAAAATCGAGGCGATTCGCGGGTTGATCATAATCAAATATTTTCAAATTCTCAATTATTTCTAACGTATGTGTAATATTAATATTTGGGTTTTGAAACATTTAACTTATTTATTCTATGGAGCAAATCACGCCTAAAAAGCACAGAAAACTAGTCTTTAACTTTTAAACATAACACTCGTATTTCATGTGATTTTAATTTATTTTTTCATTATTTACAATATCCAAAATTGCATCGTAAACTTCTCCTTATTGGTATTGTAAGGGCCGAATTTTATTCAGCTTTACTTTCCCATCAGATTCAGAGTATCAGATTGTTGTTTTAAAGTTAAAATTTTAACGTATTTTTAAAGCATTGTCCAAAGATTAGTAAAAGATGCAAAGAAATTACATATTTCCTTAACTAGACCGAAACAAACAAATTGTATTTGTATCTGTATTATTTCTGCATAGTTAATAATTAAATGATGTATAAAAAAAAAGCTAAAAGATTTTTGTTCCTAACTACATTTTGTTTCCATTTTTCATATTTGCTCCATAAACCTAACCACGCATGTCTTCAACGTTCAAAGTTTGTCAGTTGTGAAACATTTGCAACAAAAATAAAAGTTACAATTTAATTTTTCGGAATAAACAAGCCATTTTCTAAGCACTGACTCCCCATTTTCCACTTTCTTTATTATAATTAGTATATACTTCTTTAACAAAATCCATTTCAACTAAATCAGCTCGCCATTTTTCACCAATAACGCCCAATAATTAATTTAAACTTTCGTAGGTTTTCTCTTACGGGATTGAACACTAAATAATTTCTTTTTCGATTCAACGTTAACTTCAAACGCAGAAAAAATTAAGTACATTAAACAATAAGCAGAACAATAATTTACAAATTTGCAGAGTTATTATTATTTGGTTAATTGTTTCTATTGATATCACATTGCAGACTGAATATGCTTTTTGTGTCTCATAGTTAAGTTGGATTGTTTATTATAATCTATTAAGTATTCTAGATTTTTATTTAAATATATATATAAATAATATATTATAAACTTCATTTACAAACCTCGTTTTGGCGCCCCCTAAGGCGTGCGCCCGCATTTTTTGCATGCATTGCATTCAAGGTAGGACCGGCCCTGCGCACATACATACACACAGATACATACATTTTTTCTAAAGTATGCAAAATTATTCAGAAACCTTTGAAACGTAAAGATTACTATAACTTACCATACGAAAAGCTAAAATTATATGATAAATATTAGTAATTATTTAAAACACAGCTCTTCAAATGATTTTGCAGAAATTTAACGTTATTATAATAAATATAATCATATTTCTGGGTTCGTCAATTAACATTTTCTAACATATTGTTAAAAAAAACATATACTTTGTGAACTCTAATCTATTTTATTTGCTGTATCACTTATGCCAAAGTAATATACCATTTTATTAATAACACTTAAATTATGATATTATTTGTAATAATCTAAATTTTTGAAGAAATATTTCTAAAAAATCTCTAATTATGCTCATTAATAGTTACATTTAATTTGAAATATTTAAAAAAATGTTGATTTAATTGTTGAAGTATTTAATTCTGCCATGTTTTCGAATTCCATTTTGTTTGGTATGTTCATTTAAAAAACACAAAAAAAAACTATATACGTATATTAATTTATACAATTTACAAAGAATTTGTGTGTTATCGTCTGTTTCTAGATCATCTAGATATAATAATATTGTTGATTATTATATTTATTATTGGGGACATTATTATCTCGACAGTTCATCTTTCTTGTTGTATTTTCACAAAATTAGTTTGTATTTCTATTTATTTTTTGTTTCACCGATAAATACAATCGAGTGCGTGAAATTTCAGAAACGTGCATCATAAGGTCAAAAGTACTGGGTCTACTTCGTTTATGTGAACGTTTATTTCATTCGAATGGTGTTTTGTAATTTTTAAGATATTACATAAACACGTTTTCTAATTTCCAGATGTACACTATTTAATAAAAAAGTTAAACTAGTGGCATTGCAACCGTAATGAATATAAAATGTTTTCAAATAGACTATTATAGAAACTGTAACTTTCATTCGTATTTTATAGACAAAATATAAGAGCTTAAGCATTGGACGACGACGTTTATAAATGTTTACCAGGTAAGCAAATAAACTAAACCTAATCAAGCGAAGTTTTTTTTTTTTTTTTTTTTTTTTTTTTTTTTTTTTTTTTTTTTTTTTTATTGGCCTCGCTTACTCGAGCATTTAGCCACCTACATTATTCTATACAGTCATATACAATCTTCAATTTTATACTATCTTCTTCATATAATCCTATTCTTCTTCTATACTTCTTAACTAACTTATCTTCATTCTTCTTTTACTATCTCCTCTTCATCTTCTAACCACTATTTCTCTTTCTTCTATACTTCTCATTACTTCTTACTTCAATTCATTTTAATTCTAATTATCTAATTTTATATTTAACATACATATCTTATTAGTACAATTCATAATTCTATTATTATTCCAACTAGTTAATATTTTTTCAAATTCTGGCCGGAGATTCGAACTCGGAACCTCCAGCATGTGAATCGGGAACGCTACTCTTGAGCTAATCCCGCCACAAGCGAAGTTAGAATGAAGGTTTTTATCTCATATTTCTAAGAATTATATAAACTGAATTACACAGCTAACATTTTTTTATTTTAAGTATATAAATAAGTGAGTTGTAGAATTTTAGCTGAATTAAAATTAAAATCCGAATCATTTTCGATATAAAAAAATGAAAAAATGACTTCTCCAAAAATTACTCATTTCTTCACAAGCAAAATGTTTTTTTGAATCATTCAAATCGGATGGTCTGTTCTCTCAAAATCTAAGTTGCTTCGTATCTCTAAAATGGTTGGACCTGTCATTGCCAAAAACTAATCAGCACATATACCTATCAATAGGAATTGTTTTTTAAATCATTCAAATCGGTTGAGCGGTGCTCCCGAAAACGTCAACGAAAAATTATATTCACACATGCATACATATTACACACACATACATTTATTTGAATTATCCTGATATAATTCAAGTAGTATATACTGGAGATATCCAAAAATTTGATTTTCGATTTTTGGACAATTAATATAACTTACCCTACGGGAAAGTAACAATGTGATGCATCAGTTACATTGTATATTTATTTTGTCGCATTTTATTACGTGACTCAAAAAGTCCGTAGGATAACATAGATGATGTAGCTATGTAATCATCCATATGATTCGTAGGAAGCAACAACTTTAAGAAGATATATGTCAAAATTGCATGACAATCCGACGATTAGTTTACAAGTTATAGAGGGTCAAGTGATGTTACTTTTGAGTTTTTCGAAACCATGAATTCAAAGTAACTCAAGAGCCTTTATTGACTACTAGGAAGAAAATCACAACTATCGACATACAACAAACTATTGATCTATAAAGTTATCCTAAAACCCATATGGACTTACGGAATTGCACTTTGGGGGACAACATTCAAGAGCAACACAAAAATTATTCAAACGTTTCAAAATAAGATACTAAGGATCATCCTGAACGCCCCAAAATATGTACCGGTAT